CTAATTTACGGTTATCTTCTGAGTAATCTGTTTATCAAAGCCCAGCTTAGAGTTCGGCTTGATGTGGCCATCCCTCTCAAAAACGAAATCAATATGACATCTTTAAAGAAATCGGGATGGAAGAAGGAAAATGATCAATGGGTTCGAACCTCTGAGAAAACACCGGGAGCTAGCTCCTCACGAGCTCCACCTACTCTAGCATCGGCAGAAGACGATGATCCAGAGCTTCAACAACTTATGCAAGATATCAACGATATTGACGATGAAGCACCCGAGGACGAGCCGGCACAGCAAGAGGATCAAATGCCTCCATATTTTCGATCGTTTTTGGAGTCATTTCATATAAGGTTTGCATCCATAGAGTCCCATCTAACTGCTATGGGGGCTCAACAACAGGAGATGAATGAATGTTTAGATGCGCTCACACTCGAGATGCAAGCACGTTATCCTTCTCCTCCCGATCCTCCTTTGGATGACTAGACCTATCTTGCTTTAGTTTTCTTGGATTTAGGACTTATTGTTAAAATATTTTGAATGTGTTTGGATTGATATGTTTGGATGTTTGAATTTGTTTTGGATGTTGGATGTTTAACTTGAATACTTGGTTTGGTTGAATTTTTTAACTTAATGTTTATTAATTTCTGCATCATTTACATCATTTAGAATATAAACATTTTATCATTTCACATTGTTTATGAATATTGAATTATGAAACTAATGGCTAATCTTCTCTTGACTTTGATCTTAGTAGCTTACGCTATATCAACTGGCTTAAATTTTAAATTCTTGTTTAAAGTCGTTTTCTAAAGTCTTTTTGATTTAACAAAAAAGGGGAGAAGTGTTATAGTAAGGGGGAGTAATTTTTCAAAATTTATTTCAAAAATGATTTTTGAAATAAAATCTTTAAAATTACTAAAATGTTTTGTTATATCAAAAAGGGGAGATTGTTGAAAAATTTTTGATGTTTTGATATAACAAATTAAATGCTATTTGATTTTAAGATTTTATAATCATTTTTAAAGTATATTTGATTAAATTATTCAAATATCAAAATATTACTCCAAGTTTTTCAAAGGTGAATTTCAATCCTTACTTAAGTGTAAATTTTTTTTAATCTTAAAATATTTTTGAAACAAATTTTACAAAGTATTTCGAGCCTTAATTGAGCCAAAAATAATTTTTAGATATAAGGGCTTCGAGAAAAATAGATTGCCCAGAGGGTACCCATACCCCTCCTAGAGTACCGATACCCCTATGCAAGATTTAGCTCCGAGAATAACAGAATATCCTATGGGTACCGATACCCCTATCCATATAACGGTCGAAATATTTGAATTTTACACTGCAGGTACCGATAGCCAATGAAGAGGTACCGATACCCTATGCTCCCAGCAGACTTTTTCATGAGTGTTTTCACACTACAACGACTCTAACATCACCCAAATGATTCACAACAGCTAGAATCAATCGAAGGTGTATTTAAACATGTTATGAAGCCATTGATCAACAAGAATTCATTGAGAAATAAGACATAAAACATTAAATATCAAGTTTGTGCATTTCAAGCCAATTTTCCTTCAATATTCATTTTTCTTTCAAGAACACATTTTGTGCTCATTTGTAATCATCTTTGAGTGTTCTTTTCTTGTTCTAGAATTGTGCAAACACATTGCCTTGTGAGGTTTTTATGTAAGTTTGCAAAATTTGTATTGTTCTCTTTGGGAGAGTGTTCTCAAGAATTTGGGGTATAATTCTTGAGGGATTTGTAAGGTTACTCTTTGTCCTCAAAAGAAAGACAAATTTGTGGAAAATCCTTAGTGTAGATAGCTAAGGTAGTGGACGTAGACTTTGGTTGAGAAAGTCGAACCACTCTAAATCGCTGTGCAATTATTTTCTATTTTCTGCAAAAGCTTCCACCAAAATTTTATTGCCAATTCAACCCCCCTCTTGGCTATTTCGTCGATCGATTAACTCAACAATAAGTAAATTGGTTACTGCTTCTAAGAACCAAAATAGTACAAGGACTAGGCCCCCATGTTAAACAATCAGGGACAAAGGCCATCAAAGTAGACCATAAGGGAAATTTCATCTACTATGACTGAAGATTGTTCACCAAAAAGTGATGAAGCCTTAATTAACATATTGAATCAAGAAAACGTGCATCAGCACAAACATACATCAGTACAAACATACATGAATTTTATTTTTGCATCAAGCATTCATCATATACAACAATAAACTTTGACTTCCCTTTCACGAGGATGCCTTTATAATTTCTCTTGAAATTTTGTCTTATGTAAGACCATTTTCATCATCTCATGAGGAAAATTTGAAAGATCATTATATGATTTCATTTTGAAATTTTTGAAAACATTAAAAATAGTAGCATTCATACATGCTCTTTTTTTGCAAGTCTTTCAGGTCAGAAAGGACCAATGACAACTAGATCTCGTCAACACGAAGGAGCAATGTTGTCTTCAATAAGAATGTTATCTAAAGGCAATTAGGTCTCCTCAAACAAGAAGGAGCAACATTGACTTTAAATATGACTTCCACAAGTGAAGAACCAAATCATCCATATACGACTAGACATCTTCAACATGAAGGAACAATGTCGTCCTCTAACTAGACCTCCTCAACATGAAGGAGAAATATCATCATGAATGACCAAATCCTTTTCAACGTGAACGAACAGTTTCGTTTCTAACATCAAATTATCTCCAGGCAATCCGATTTATTTAACAAGAAGGAACAATGTTGTCTTCAAATGCACAATCACACAAATACGATTAGACATCCTCAACATGAAGGAACAATGTTGTTCATTCACTATACCTCCTCAACATGAAAGAGCATTGTCAACACCAGATTTGACATTGAGCAAATCACCCCAAATATGGCCAGATTCTCTTCAACGTGAACAAGTAGTGTCATTTCCAACATCAAATTATCTCAAGACAATCACATTTCCTCAACGCGAAGAAACAATGTTGTCTTCATATGCATTCTTTCAAATATGACTAGATGTCCTCAATGCCAAGGAACAATGTCGTCCATTAAGTAGATATTTTAATTTGACCTTTAAAATTTAAGCATGTTGCATTTTGGTCACTGCCTTAATTTTTTGAATTATTTACATGTTTAACGCCTAATGCTTCAGTTTCTTCTGATTTAGTCCTAAATTAAAGTGTATAATCACAACTTTGGTCACTCATTTTTAATTTATTTTTAGATCCTGAATTATTAATATTTATGTTTTTTTGCCATCCACGTTTCTATACATATAAATATTTTTTTTATATTTCATTAAATATTTCATATAAATGCGTTGTATAGTAATTTATGTAATTATACTATATTAATGGTGATTTTTGATAAATTTTATTAGATATATATTTTATGGAAAGATGTTTTTCTTTTCTTTTCTTTTCTTTTCAAGGCTATTCGATTACTTTATGGGAGACCTCCAAAAACCTGGGTGTCCTCCCGAGGGTTATTCGAATAAAATTATTTTTAATATTATTTGATATTTATTTATACTTTTTGATATATTAAGTCAATCAAATATATATATATATATATATATATATATATATATATATATATATATATATATTTATTTATCACACTTTAAATAAATGTATAATTTCTGAAATTTTCATGTTTTTATAAATTGAAATTATTCTAATAAGATAAGTATTCATTGTTGATTTTATTATTTCTTTCTTTATATTTTTAGTTTATTTTTTTCATCTTTCACATTACGTGTGATATTTCATCAATATTGTACATGTCATTTATTATTCTTGCATTCTTGAATCATACATTTTTTCTCGAAGTTTTAAGACAATGTTGTCTTGCGTCGTGGGTTAACGAAATTACGTCCAACATGATTGGATTTTAATTTCCGTTAATTCGGGACATCATTTTTTTAAAATAAACTCGAATGAATTAAATCATTTTCATCAAGACAAGTATTAAAAGAAACATTCGCTCATTTTTAATTTATCAAAATTAAAGGATCGTAATTTAAATTTTAAGTTCAAATTTTATGAATTTCATCATTTTTGACAATATATATAATCGAGGGTACCAATTTTGTACGTTGTGAAGGTGCTCACCCTTCTTCACGCGTAACCAACTCCCGAATACTAAAAAAATGAATTTCTGGTAACACGCGGATTAATTTTTTGTCTTAAAAATGATTTTTTTTAAAAAAATTTTAAAAGACAATTGGGGAAAAATTGTTAGAGTTTGAGAAAATAATTTAACGAAAAAAATCAATAAATCATATTATAAAATAATGAACCTTTTTCGTTGACTTATAGTAATAAATTTATGTTGACTCGCTTTCACTTATATTCAGCGAAACAAATTTTAAAGAAAAGGATTTTTATTTTCTGTAAAACATTTTAACTCAAACAAATAAATCTTTATTATTAAATATTAATTTTATCAATTTATTATAGGGTAAATTTCTATTTGGTCACCTACCTATTACTTAACATCTATTTTGGTCGCCATCTATTATTTTTTTCAAAATCATATAAATGTTATGTTTTATTTATGTTTTAGTCACATGTCATTAAAAAATTAAAGGTGATGTTGAAGTGAACTTTTTAATTATTTTCAATGATGACAGGAAATTATCTTATGATGTCACTTAAGTATTACAATTAGTTTTTTAAAGGTGATCAAAACAAAACTAAAATGTAATGTTAGGCCTGATTTTGAAAAGAAAAAATTAGATGATTGAAACAAAAACTAAGTAATAGGTTAGTAGTCAAATAAGAAATTTGCGCTTTACTATAAAATAATCACGGTTAAGGACCGAGAGTGTAGTTTAACATTTTGTTTCCTCCATGAACTAGTAGTAATTCATAAGGGTGCACATTCTGTCTTTTCCCCTCACACAGTCCCTTTGTTTTTTCCCCCAACCACGCGTAAGCCCTGGAAAATAGTTCACTAATATTCTTTCTTTTTCAAATAAAAACTTAGAACCGGGTCTTCTTCCATTGTAAACACACACACTTCATTCACAATTTGAAAATACAAGAAACATCTCAGCCGTCACAAAATTCTCTTTACTTTCTTTCAAAATCCTTTGAGAAAGAAGAAGAAGAAGGCTTAAAGAAGGAAGAAGTTGAAATGGGTTCGAGTAGCAGTCGACCGGGGTTGAACCCATCACAAGAGAGCCGACCCAATCGGTTTTCCAGACTTTCTTCGTCTCTCTTCATCTGGGGTAGCAGTCCTTCTCGTGCACCTGTTGAGGTAATTAACTATCAAAAGTTTGTTTTTTATTCAATTTAATGATTTGATATTGGCCATTCATTTTCCCTTATTTTTTATAAACTTTTTGGCGATTTGGGATTTGCATAATTCATACCAAAATCACTTCTTTCAGGTGTATTTGTTTGTTTTTTTCTGTTAAAAAAACTATTTATTCAATTATATTTTTTTTGCTTAAACGCAGGCATGTTACTATTTGATTTCCTTTTTTCCCCTCTCATATCCTCTGGATCAAGTCAACTCAGGATAGAGAAGAGTTTATTTTCTGAAATTTTCTGGTATTCTGTATATAAATTCCAAATCTTATTGGTTTTCTTGTTTGTCTTTGCTCAGAATTTCAACTCTTTAAAAACAAAAATTTTAGTTTCTTATGTGTTTACTTAGTCAGATATCTTTGTATCTTGTATTTGGAGGGGGGAATTGATAAATAAGGGCAGTGTTCTTTAGCAGTATAATGTATTGATTAGTGTGTAGATTTGTAAATTATGGCCGCTCATAGCTTAAATTAGCAACACCTAGTTTTTGAGATTGGTTTTGATTTAGCAAGTGTTACTTGGTTAGATTGTTTTTCTGCTGATTTTTTGCTCGTTTTCTTTCAATAAGACAGTTTTTCGATCTGAATAAGTTCATTCCTAGTTAAAATTTCATTATTCTTAGCTTTCCTATTGACTCAAAGATGGAGCCAGGAGGTGGTAACCAGAATCGTCTTTCTGGCAGGGGTTGAGCATCTCTTAATTTTCGCTCAAAACCTCGGGCCACTAAGAGAATTCTATGAAGCCTTCATTGAGGATGCAAGAGTTGAGTGGATTCTGCAATTTCTTTTCGGTTGCATGTTTATGACTTGGAAGCCATCTTTTTCTTGTTTTTGTATTTAGATTGTATCATTTCACATGGAAGCTCGAGAATATGTTACAGGGAATGATAACATTCTTTTGATATAGATGGAAGATTATCCCACTGAAATCATGGTGAAGTCTGCAGAACGACCTGACTCAGTTGCCAACATGGTCCAAAGTCCCTTGGAGGAATCTACTTCGGTATGCGGTACTGAAACAAGGTTCTGGAGCACTGGTACTGAAACTGCAACTTCGTCTGAAAATAATATCGAAGCCAGTGGGGAGCCGTCAATTAAAGTTGGTTCAAGAGACGTGGAAACAAGTAATTCTAGGAAATGCTTGACTGAAAGTACGGAGATGGTTGTTCCTCAGGTAAGCTCTGATTATAGTCATGGTGAATCTCATAGGGATAGTAGTACCTCAGCTATCATTTCCTTTAAAGAACAACAATCTTCAGACCATGTCTCAGTAAATCTTTCAACTAATGAGGATGCAGTCAATGGCTTTGAAAACAAGGGTCCATCTCAGCTTTTTCCCGAGTCGAGTATTTTGTCTTCTCAAAGGCCTGAAGATTCACATTTGCATGGGACACCTGTTGTGAATTGGTCCGGTGAAGTAACAACAGTTCATAGCTTGGGTACTGATTCTGCTCCTCGTGTGTCTGAACTTATGACTTTTAACTCACTAGACGATGAATCCATTCGAGAGATGATACCTTCTGGTTTAGGATTTCTCCTATCCAATAGGGAACAAGGCCAGGGAGATGCTGTGCTTCATGTTGATGTTGTGAGTATATCTTCCAATATTTTATCTGGTCGCAGTGCTGATGCAAGTAATCGTGAATCCGGGAGGAATGGTAGAAGATTGTTCTGGGATGCAATTTCGAGGCACAGTTCTAGAAGACATCATGATTCCCCATCCATTTTCCCTGCAACGGGTGATAGCAATGATACATCACTTCATGACAGATGGCTCCTTAATGTCAGTGGTGATATCTTTCACGATGGGGCTGGAGGTGATTCTGGTTACCTCAGCAGCAGTAGAATTCACAGCTTGAATGAACGAAGACAACACTCAAGATCAGAGGTATTTAGTTGCAAAGCACATTGTACATTTGTATTTTGAGGTTTTTGCAGCTTGCTTTTAGGTCATGTTCTCCACTGTTTCTTTTAGCAATGTCTGCTTTTTGTTACAACAGCTTTTGTCTTTTCTTTATGCATGCATGGAGAATTTAATCATTATAATCATGTGACAACATTTGTCAAATCTCTGCAATTTGGCTCTTTTCCAGATCTGGGAGAGGCTGCTTGGTGGGCATGACGAAAATAGTCTGCAAACTACATTTTGTCCATCTGGACTCCACCCTGATGGCACATGCTCCTGTGATTCTCTCTTGATGACTGACGAATCTAGCACTCGTGCAAGCATATCACGCATAGTTATGCTTGCTGAGGCTTTATTTGAGGTAGTTTTCCTTTATCTCATCATAGATCTATCTTAATATTTGCATCTCGGCTACACTCACCTTTTGTACATGTTGGTTTTCACGCATTCCAAATCAAATAGGAAAGTGGGTCTGATTGTTTTCCTATAGAACCTTCCCTGGAAACTCAAAATATAGTGTGATCACACAGAACTCCTCTCGTACTTCTCCGCCTAAGTCACTCAGCCTTCATCCTATGGTTAAAATTTCCATCCATCTTATGTCTTTTTAGGTTATCGTTCTTAGGCACTTAAAGCACCCCGCTACTGATATCACAACTTCGAGTGATTATATTTTGATCATTTTAAGCATGTGGTAAGCTTCTCGTGCTCGTCTCCAAAACTCTTTCCCAGTATTAAACCGTCTCTAGTCTCTTCAACTTATTCAATATTAGTATTCCAAGGTATTTCATTTTGAAAACTTTTGGATATCTCATCCCTTATTATAGCGAAAAGAAAAGGACTCGATGTTTATCTTTATAACCTTTTTGTAACCAGAAACTTATTCTTCAATCTGCCATAAGGTCTTATGCTTGTTAGTTTTGCCTCGTACATAATCCATATTATATTTACATTCAAATCTCTTACTGATGGTCTAAACCTCAATTATTTACCGCAAGAAATGAACCGCTTCTTCTGTGCTAGTAATGATTTAGGTTTCGGTTATCCGTTTGTTGGATATTGTTTTATGGAGTTCTTCAAATTAACCTGTCTCTTTATTCTGTCAAAATGTAAATATGTAGGTTTTGGATGAAATTCATCATCAACCAGTATCACTTTCCCTATCCATGGTGTCAGTTCCAGCCCCAGAATCCGTGGTTGATTCTTTCCCCCTCAGAAATCATAAAAAGGTGTCTGCATCTAAGGATGGGAACGTGGTTGAACAGTAAGTTCTTTTTTTAATACTGATAGATTTGGGTGGGACACATCCATTTGCTCCAGGAAGAGTATAGGGAAAGGAGTGGCTGTATTCAGTTTCTTAATTAACTGCATTTTCTATTCTTATATCGAATATTCTACTAATGTCGGCGTTGCTACTACGAATCTTATATGTAGGTGTCGTATATGCCTGTCTGAATACGAGGAAGAGGAGAAAATCCGAGTTCTACCTTGTCAGCACGAGTTTCACATGTCTTGCGTCGATAAATGGCTTAAAGAGATACAGGGGTATAGTTCTACTGCCCTTCACTCCCCTGCATCCTGCTGCCTTATTTCCGATCGAGAACTAACCTTCCACTTGCTTGCTCTCTATGTTAACAGGGTTTGCCCACTTTGCAGAGGTGATGTCCGTCTGGGTGTGGACTTGCCGGTCTCGAACTCAGAGGTTCCCTCTCTTTGAAGAAACTGTATATGTGTGAATTAGTACAAAAACAATAATGGATCCGAATGTTACATGTTGTATCGTTTAAGCACTTATCATGTAAAATATTTTTTCTTATAATGCGGCTTTGGCATTGAGAAAATATGATCTTTTTGACTTTGCATTTTACTTCTTTGGCTACACCCTTTACTTATTAATCAGGATTGATGTGTGAATATGTTTTGAATCTTTCTTAATTATTGATAACGTGCACACATTTTATATAGATGTAATTGTTCGAATTCAGAACTCTTAAGGAGAACAATATTTTTTTATTATTAAGGTTCAAGATCAATGTGACGATTAGATAGGAGTATGTATTTGAAACAAAATGTTACATCATCTTCAAACACATTTTTAACGAGTATCGAATATAAAAGATTTTATAAATGAACAAATTTATGAACACCATTACAAAGCAATCAAAATTTGCTTGTGTTTGCCACAAATGGATCTTTACAATAGGGGTGTTAAAAAAAATACTCGACCCGTCGACCCGGATCTTAAAAAACGAGTATTTTTCTAGATAAAATTATTCGGCTGGGTCACCAAAATTGATTTTTCCGATATCCGGTTACTCGAGTACCCGGTTAATTTTTTTATATATATATATATTTATTTGATTTTCCATTGCATATTAGATATAGATATGAGGATATGACTAATATGATACCCCAAGTCCCTTGAGTACATGGAAAAACCTTCCGAAAAATCTAACACACCCATATCTGATACTTGCATCCAACATGCTCATAATCTTATTTCAATCTTCCATTTTTGATTTCTTCATATTCATTGATATGTTAATATTTCGAACTTTTAAATTTTGTGTTTCGATGTTGAACTATGTAATTCGAAGTTTTGAATATTTAAATTTGTGTTTTTTATATTTAATAATTTGAAGAAAAAAATCATGGTATCCGAATACCAAACATACGGGTACCCGCAAAATCTGGGTACCCGATTACCGGATACTTAAAACATCCGGATCGAGACACAGGTCGAGAAATCACCGACCCGGATGCTCCGGGTACCTGGATTTACACACCCCTACTTTACAAGGGCGATTGATTGATAAAAAAATGGATTAAATCGAGGATTGTCCATCAAAAGTAAAAATCACCTTATGAAAATGAAATTTATTCACCGCCTTTCATATTCATTTCCTCGGCTGGCTTATTCGTTATCATCATATAATATTCATTATCATCTTGTTCTTTACATTGCTGCTTCACGGTCCCATGAAAAGTGGTGAAACGCATCGAAGTAGGTGGCGACGCCGCCAATCATCCCTCCTGCCAAACTCTCCTTATCCGATAAGACACGTTTGTGCTTTTGGGGGATCCGTGAGGACAATTCCTACTCGACTTGTCGTGGAGTGCACAGCCACAATTCCGGTGGTACCGCCGACGCTCGATGATGATGTCACAGCCAGAGATGCACCCTTCGTAGATTGATCGGAAAAGGCCATAGGAAGCTCCGGCGGCCATATTCCTCGTTTAACGATCAACACGACAATGTAGCGTACGATGCACATGTGTGTGTGTGGGTGTTTTGGAAATGTGGCTAACCTTTCAATGTAATGGAACAATGGTTTCATTTATAGAAAGTACGTTAAGGTGGTTCTATATGTGGCGAAATCAACGGAGGGAAAATTTGTCTGTCGACTGAATACGCAGCGGGCAGTTCTACGGTGCGACGCCTAAGTATACGGCTAAAATAAGGCGATATCGGTTTTGTTATTATTTTAAATAACAAAAACGGTAAAAAATAACCGAAAACATCATTATTTTGTCCGGTTCTAATTACCTATATAGGTAGAAACGGTAAAAAAAATCCGATAAAAAAAATCCAGTTTAAAAATGATGTTTTCGGTAAAGCGCTACCTAAAATATCATTTTTTGACTAGATTTTTTTATCGTGTTTACCTATATAGGTAATTAGAACCGGTCAAAATAATGATGTTTTCGATCATTTTAGCGTTGGCTGGCCACAACAATTCCGTAATATCATTTTTAATCAACAATACATTGAACTTTTTAGGGGTAAATTATCTATTTGGTCACTCACCTATTATTTAGTTTATATTTCTCTCATTTAATTATTTTTTTAAAATCATATATAACATTACATTTTGATTCTATTATAGTCACTTATCATTAAAAAGTTAACGGTGATGCTGATGTATCATCATAAGGTAATATCATATCAATACTGAAAAATAATTAAAAAAATATCATAGCAACATCTTTGTTAATTTTTTTTTATTGAAGGGTGACCAAAATAGAATCAAATCATAAGATTAGGTATGATTTTGAAAAAAATAATATTTTGATGATCAAAACAAAAATTAAGTAATATGTGGATGAATAAATAGATAAATTACCCTATAATCTTCAAATTTCAAATGAATAAATGTTAAAAACATATTTTTATTTTAAAATAGCATCAATTTACTTAAAAACCTCTTAAAACTTTAATTAAATAGGTATTGGTAACTAAACTTTTAAAAGTAATAAAATGATCATTATAATTTTTAAAAGTTCAATGACCAAAACGATCATTTGAGCAAAATTCAATGATTTATGATGTACTTTATCCTTATTTTATATGTTTAATTCGAAATTTTATATTTTTTTTAAAAACTAAATATTTATTAAATCATGTATAAAATAACAAATTCAAGATGTTAAAATATAAAAGTGCTACTTTCAGTTACATCCAATGAGTCGTCGAAGAAGCAGCAGATTTAAGTGTCAAGTCCAACTTAAATTTAGTGGGATTTAACTCTTGACCGGGATGATCAAAGCTATGTATTAATTTGAAATGCCTAATTTTTTTGCAGTAATTAAGGTGTTAACCATTTTCCTTTCTAAATTATAATTAACAGATAATGTTTCAATTAAGAAAAATAAAAGTATTTGATAAAAACAAACCGGATATTACGTGATTTGAACAAATCTGATCCTGTTTTTCCCATTTAAATCTCACTCAATCCCCTATCTTCTTCATTCAAAAATTAAAAAAATTGCCTAAAAGTTTCAGTTGTTTTCGATGAAGAACACAGTTAATTGTAACAGTGCTGTTGTTCTTGCATTCTTCGTTGCTTTCACATGCATTCCCTTCACCATTGCCCGACAAACCCATGCAGATAACCAAAGAAGGGTGTTTCGTTACAGTGACGAGTTGAGTTCTGGAGGCGAGTTCGACTCAGTTCTATCGACCCTAACCTTCGACAACTCCAGGCTTAAGAATGCCTACGTTGCTTTGCAAGCATGGAAGCAAGCCATTGTGTCCGATCCATTGAACTTAACGTCAAATTGGGTGGGATCCAATGTGTGCAACTACACTGGAGTCTTCTGTTCCCCTGCTCCCGATGACCCCGCTGTCGAAACCGTAGCCGGAATCGATCTGAACCACGGCGACATCGCCGGAACGCTCCCGGATGAACTCGGACTCCTTAACGATATTTCATTGTTTCACGTTAATTCGAACAGGTTTTGCGGCAAGCTGCCATGGAGTTTCAAGGAAATGAAGTATCTTTACGAGCTGGATGTCAGCAACAACCGGTTTGCAGGGAAGTTTCCTTACGTCGTTCTTCGTATGCCGACACTACGATATCTCGATCTCAGGTTCAATGAGTTCGAAGGTCAAGTACCCAAAGCTCTGTTTGAGAAAAACCTTGACGCCATTTTCATGAACCATAACAGGTTTGCTTTTGACCTGCCTGATAACTTTGGGAACTCGCCTGCTTCGGTCATCGTTTTGGACAACAACAGGTTCCGTGGTTGTTTTCCGGCAAGCATGGGAAACATGTCCAACACGTTGCATGAATTGATTCTGAGTGACAATGGGTTGCATTCATGTCTACCGGAACAGATTGGATCGTTAAAGAACGTGCAAGTTTTTGATGTAAGAAATAATGAACTGATGGGTGTTTTGCCTTCCTCGATTGGACACATGGAGAGCTTGGAACATCTCGATTTGTCACACAATATGTTCTCGGGGGCTGTTCCTGAGCACGTGTGTTCGATGACGAATTTGCAGAAATTTAATTACAATCATAACTTTTTCCATGGGGAGTCCCAGATGTGTTTGGATTTGGAGGAATATGACGACAGCAAGAACTGTTTCCATGGCCTTGGAAGATCGGTTCAAAGATCCAGATTGCAGTGTAAAATGTTTCTTTCCAAGCCTGTAAATTGTAGTGTCTTTAAATGCCATCAATTGGTTCCTCCGTCGCCACCTACACCTAAACCTGCAGTACCGCCACCTCCACCTAGTCCACACCGCCCTTTTTCGCCGCCACCTCTACCACCATGTCAACAATTACAATCACCTCCACCACCGCCAAGTCCTACGGATTATAACCCATTGCCACCAATCAACGCAAGAAACTATAGTTCTCCACCACCGCCACTCTACTGATAAGGACGGCAGTTGAAGTTTAACTGTTTCGATAGGTAGTTTCAGTAGGTAGAAATTTGGATCTTTGCTTCTGTTTTTGTCAGTTTATTTCTGATCTTATCCATGAATAGTTGTGCCTGAACATTTTGTTTTTAGCTTTTTTGAGACTTGGGTTTCAATAATAAGAATGTCTACAATATCCTGGCTTTGATTTTTTTTATTATTATTAAGAAACGAAAAACACATTTGGAAGTAATTAAACCATGAGTCTTAGGGATGGCCTGCACCTCTTGCAAACTATATATCACTTTTGACAGTTAGCTTACTTATTATATCTCTTGACCAAGTCGCTTCTAGTCTCAGTACATCAGACCAAAGCTCAGCCGTGACAATCGAGCAGCATCCAATATTCTTCTGAAAACTAAACAGCCATGGTCTTTGATCATCTTGGAGTAGGACAAGGGCTCCCACCCACGCCTACCAACGTTATCTACATTCAACGTCGAGGTCTCTCCCGCGATACTCCCGTCGTAACCATCCCCGTATTCGCATCTCAACTTAGAATGTGTGATGGAGTCGCCAATGATCGCTTTCGAATTAGATGGATCAGGCATCTTGAACTTGCCATTTTCTGGACCCGCGTCTTACTAGTGATTTGTCAGATTCGGGAGTCGTTTACAATCAAGGAAGGATGAACACATTCGAACTGCCCTTTTGGTATCATTCGATTATCCAGTTGTCTTAATTATAAAAATTGTAATTTAAATAAGAATTTAAATTTTTCGATCCAAATTACTTACCCTTGATGGACTTGGACTTTGGATTTTAAGCGGTTTCCTCAAAAGAATAATATTAATGTTAGGAAAAATAAAATTAAAAATATAAAAAAAAAATAAAAAAAAAAATACCCATTAAATACAAAAAAACATTAAAAGAAAACGTCAATGTATCGATATAAAAAAATTAAATAAGAATATGTAGAAAAGGACCAAATTACACTAAAACTAAATTTCTAGATGAAATTGCAAATATCGGTGATCAAATTGAATTATACATCAGAAGATGGGGGATTGCGAAAAAGATTTAAGAATTTAGTAATTACACTTTAGCTCTGCTATAACAATCCCAATTTAATTTTATTATTTTATTTGATTAATTTTCGGGGACCAAATCGTAAGATTCTAAAAACCTTAGGTCAGTTTTCAAAATTTTATAAAAAAAGGGACTTAATTTGGATTTTGACCATCATTGGTTTAAAAAAAAGAGAAAAGAGAAAAATGATTGAATTGCATTAAAATTAAATTTCTGGATGAAGTTGCAAAAATCGACGACTAAATTGAATTATATATCAAAAGTTGGGGGAATGCGAAAAAGATTTAAGAATTTAGTAATTACACTCTTCCCTCTCTATAACAATCCTAATTTAATTTTATTATTTTATTTGATTAATGTTTGGGATCAATTTGTAAGATTCTAAAAATCGTAGGTCAGTTTTCAAAATTTTATAAAGCTCAGGGACTTAAATTGGAATTTAACCATCGTTAGTCTGGAAAAAAAGGAAAAGAGAGAATTAGGTAAGATTGTAATTATGGGGCTTTGAACCCATATACTATAGCAACATGGTTTATTTTACTCTTAACTTTGAAACTAGGACTGTTGAGTTTTATTTTATAAAATTTAAATGTAATATCAATGTTGGATCAAATCCAACACCCCAAAAAATGTAAAACAAATTTAGAATCGAGCCAAATCCTCAAATTTAAAATCCTAAATTTTATTTTATATCAATCATCGTTGATCACCATAATACCACCGTCGTTTAGTCGTCGTGATGGTCACCGCCACCATCGTTGTGCATGTCTTTATGTCCCGATCAAAATAGCCGACCATTCATTGTAATAGGCCTGTCATTTGCCGTGAATCAACGTTTGAAACTCGTTAGAGATCCAAAACCACCACTGTTGGTTTCATTGTTTTAACGTTGATTTTGAGGTTCGATGACCACGTGCCTCTACCACTGTTCTCCTCGCGTCTTTCAGACCAAAACCTAGTTGGCATCATCACCTCGCCACTGTCCATTATCTGTTCATCGTTGGGGTAAGATTCAATTATCTTTTTGATGACTTCGTCGTGTTTTGAGTTGATATCTGGTTTGATTTGGTTTGAAATCAGCGAGTGGAATGTCATAGGGTAATCGACTGCCTTCCCCACCCCTTGTCGTCGACGCACAGACCGCCACGCTTCACAGTCACATGTAGGCTTCTTGACTGGCAGGAAACTCCTTGAACCTGTCTGGTTGGATCTGACTGAGTCGAATTGGCCTGTGTTTGAACAAAGTCAACTGAGTCAACACGTGTTGAGTAAACTCGCACTGAGTCAAATCGTGTTGAGTAAACTCGCACTGAGTCAACTCACATCGAGTCAACTCACGTCGAGTCAACTCGCATTGAGTCAACTCACGTCGAGTTAACTCAAATCGGTATAAACTGTTGACTTTGACCTAACCGTTGACTTTGATCAAATCATTAACTTTGATCAGAGTTGACTTTGAACATGGTTGATTTTGACCAAAAAGTCAAATTATTCGAAAAGTCGTATGTTATTTTCTTTGATGTATTGAGTCTGATTTTATGATCCGTTTTACCAAATTCTAACCCAAAAGCCCCTAAATAGACTGTTGAACCCGAACATGCATATATATTTAATTATTTTATTTAAGTGCATTTAATTTAAGGTCAAGCATGATTTATGGTGTTGATTATTAAAGGTACTTGAGACTCTCTCAACCGCTCGGCAGCTCGACCCAACTCCTCTTAATCTGTTCGAACACGTGATGTAACACCTATCTCCAGTATACCCTTCCCTACACGAAATATGGATGTCACATCACTTTAAAATAATGTTTTTCATTTGAAAACCCGTAAAAATTTGTTTCAATTCAATTAACCACAAAATAAAATATTTTTAAAAACAACATATAAAAATTATCATTTAATTATATTATAAATTTTTTACCATAATTTAATTACATGCCAACTAAGTTATTAAATTGAATAAGATTGTCATAATATTACTGAAGAGTCAACCTTTAATTGATGCAAGCTGCTACCACTGCTATACTTATTACGCCCTAATCATTGCCTTTACCTACGCGTGAAATAACACACGTTAAGTAATTACTTAGTGAGAAATAATAATATAATGTAACCTTTGATTACACATAAATATGTCACATTTATTTATTTCATATAAAATCGTATATTCTTTAAGTATTCCATACTCCTCTTTATTTAAACCATATTTCGTTCACAATTTTCATAATTTTTTTTGTATGCCTAGCATACCTATCTTCCTTTATATTTTCTTTTCCATTTATCTCTTTAGTCATTATTCTTTGTTGTCACTGGTAGTATCCATTCATGATTATAATAAACCTATATGCATTTCAATTATGTCATCTTTACAGGTCTTTTATACACTATTATACTTTTCATTTATAACACCCATTCATACAATTATGCCTTGTTGTACAATATATCTATATACATATCATCCCTTCATATCACAATACATTAAAAATTCCTTTATTCTCTTACTCAACAGTGTTTAACGTTCGTCTAACTAGCATAATTTACAACCATTTGCCAAATGCACAGCTAGGCCATTATTCTTTTACTCAACGCTACTTAACCGTTCATCTAACTGGCATAATTGACACCTTTATGTCATATGAACAATTAGGCCTCAAGATCTTTTATTTTTAAACAGTCTCTACTATATTAATCATTCATCATATCAATAAACCCCTTTCCATCATTATACATTCTATGGTTTATTCCCAAACTGTCAATGCAATAATACCAAAATTTTTCTATAATTTTTCATGAATTATTTTCCAATAGAATTACGACAATTCACCCTTTTATTATGAACTTTTGACAATTTCATCTTTCACGGTGTCTCTCAATTCAGTTATTATTCCATAATTTACATCCGTAGTGCTAATATCATCATTTATCAACCATTTCTAATATTTGTGTGGTTTTCATATCCATTACTAAAAAAATCAATTTCCTTATTATTTAGTTCTTATGTTATACCCATATATTTCCCATACGAAAATTCATACACTTAGTATGAATTTCTTGTCTTTTAGCACATAAGGTGCCCAATACATAAATTTATACCCTTAGTAGGATTTCTTTCTTTTCATTTGTAATCTCCATTTATGTTTTTAATACACCATTAGGCACTTTAAATTGTAACATCTTTTCTAATGATAATGCAACCATATGCATTTCAACTATAGTATACTTTTCTATTGATAATGTACCCATATACATTTCAACCATAGTATACCGTTCTGTTGATAATGTACCCATATACATTTCAAATCTAGCATGCTCTTCTATTGATAATGCACCCAGATGCATTTCAACTCTAGCATACTTTTCTGTTGATAATGTTCCCATATACATATCAACCATAGTATACTTTTCTGTTGATAATGTACCCATGTACATTTCAACTATGTCATCCTTTCATGCCAATAATGCACCCATATGCATTAGTATTTTCATACTCGAACTCATACCCAATATCATTTCCATATATTCAATAAAACATAGTCATTACAGTAAAACATACATTAACAATTAAACAATTCATATTAAATGATTGCTAATCATTTTCATCTATATTGCATATAATAAAATGTACTCACCTGACTTTTCTTGCTATGTATCCGAAAACATAAATGTTGATTACTCCAGTATTTTGCCGTTACCCTTTGTTTTGTTTGTCTCTAGAGCTTGGTTCCGATCTACTCAAGCATCCATATAACGACACATACGATATCAATTGTTATTATTCTTCCTAACAATTATACTTAAACAATACTCAAAAGGACATATCATTAACTTTCTATAACAATATCAAACTATTTTGACATTTATGGCTCCATAGTATCGATACTACTACCGTGGTACCGATACTTCTATACTATGGTATCGATACTCCCT